ACCAGAATGGTTCTATTGGTCCCTCAAACTATATAAACAGCAGTTATTCGAATGTGGCTGACGGCATGTACCCTCTGCCAGTTTATCCCAATGGCCTGTATCCATCTGGTACAACCTTGCTATCTAGCCGTTCTATTTATATCATCAAGACATGGATTTTAATTCTTCTTCTAAGCAGTTTGATTTTGGCCCACTTGGTCTGTGCATTTTCAGGTGTAGACGAGGCATCACATGTTGATGAAAGTTCACCAGGGAGTGTCAATGAACAAGGATGTTACCAAGGAGATTCTGGACATTCTTCCCCAGATCTATCCTCCTCACCCAAGCTCCCAAGGTGATTGCTCTTTTCCTCAACATACAAGATGAATTAAAATGTCTGAGGTATTAATATGCCCTTCAAGAGATTTTCCATAGGAGATGCTTGCAGGCTTACTAGCCTGCTTCTGGTTTTTTACTTAATTTGGTCATTAATCAAGCACAATCCAATTTACTAATTTGACTTCACTCCAAGACCAGTGGGAAACTAGGTGATTTGATATAGTAATTAAGATGCTACTTGAGTAAGTGTATGACCAAGCTTTATGAAGATTAACAATAAACAAAGGGCATATTTAGAATAAATTTAAAAATTTTGTGGAATTTATTTGTAAATTCAAATTCAACGTAGCTATTATAGATGTAATTGTATTAAAAGGCTACATAATTAACCTCATATGGATTTTCAGGGGAAATTATATAAATAAACTCTAAATTCCATCTATTTTCACAGACTCAGGTATTTGCTGTATAAATTTCAAGTTAAATTCGTTATAAAGTTACTTCTTATCAGTTTAAGAGAACCTTTCACACTCTTCTTATTGAAGTAAGTATGAATTCACAGTTGAGTTGTAGAAAATTTATAAATTTATCATAAACAGAGAAAAGATATTTATGGAATTCTCTTGGTTGTTCCCGAACTGTTACTCCTATCGGGTTTCTAAGGACAACATAAGTAGGGTTAGGTTGCATATTGAATATTTTCTAGTCTTCCATTTTTCAGGTACAACTTACCTGGTAGCAATAAGAATTACTGGCATTATTCTGGCATTTTATTTTGACGACTGATGTGCATGCACCTTAAACATGTGGATTTAATTTTTTTTGGGTCATTTCTACAGATTTTCCGTCTGACTTGCTAATTTTCTGGGATGTCTCTGATGCTTTTTACTCGTCATTTTGACAGTGTGGGTTGAGTGTTCTGCTGCATTATCGGGCGAGTAAGACACACAAGATGTCAGTAACCTTGCGAGTAAATCCTCCCAACTTGCTTTCTTTAGGAAGAATTTTTGATCTTCTGCGGGGATGCTCTTTTCATCCCCTTCGATACACAGGTAAAAGGGTCATCTTACTCCACAGTCATGGCTCATGAATGTACATTAAAAATATGATGTCTCTTTTTGTGAACTATATAGAAAAATCGTCTGTTCATTCCTTAGGTGGTAAAAATAGTCACCTTACACCAGCCTTGTTGATGGATGTACATTAAAAATTTATATCCCATTTTGTTAACTACAGAAGGATGCGTTTAGTTGGGAAAGGCGTTTTTACCGGAGAAAAATGTAGAAAGTCTTCCGTAGCTTATGGTCCGTTATCTTTCTTATTTTTCACCTTTCTCAGATGAAGAATACAGGGTATAGTTAGGAGATTACTTGTGTTGTATGCCTTGTGTAGTATTAGTTCTCTTGATGGAATATATATATATATATATATGATGCATTAGGTCTTACTGTATTATTATCAGAAAAAACCGTGAAAGTCTTTTACATACAAATTTACCAGACCGTCTTTCAAAAGAGAATGCAATTTCATTGTTCTCATATGATCATCTACTACTAAAAACTTATTGCTTAAAGCTGTATTAATGTGGTTTTTTTTAGTGTATGTTTTGAATTAAAATTGAGTTGGAGAACCTTTTTATCATGTAAATTTATTTTATTATTTTTTTAAAGATAAAAGTGAGTAGTAATATTAAAAAACGGCTAAGAAGACGAATCCATGTACAAAAGAAAGTATTTACAGATAAGTAAATATATCTATAATGTGACTAAGATCGTCAAAAGAGTTAAAAGATTACGACCAAAGATGATGGATCAAAGATTATTGTCTATCAAGTTTCTGTACAGAGATTTGACGGTAAATTTATTTGATCATATTTTATAGTTTTTGTTATCAAACATAAAATAATTACTTTTCCGAAAGATATTTACACATGTCTAAGCTTCCAAATATACATTTAAAATTAAAAAAGAAATTTCAAACACAAAGTACTGAAGTTCTACCAAGCAAATAATCTAAATTTAAATTACAATAATATTGATTTTACCAGTAAAGATAATACAAATTACAGAACAATAGTTCTTTACTTCCAAAAGTCACCTATATCTTAAAATAACTATAGGCCCTGAAAGCAAAGAACAACTAAGAACAAACACCTTCTTTTAAAGAAAAAGAAAAACATGGAGGAATCATATCCTCCTCCTTTTATACTTGTCATTTTCTAAAACTTTACACAAGTCCAAAACTATTTGAACTTCATTGGACTTCTTCTGACTTCAATCCTCTACAGCCCAGACCTGAGAAAGAGCCCTAAAAGAAGTAGAAGAAGATCTCCTCCATCTGGCTAATTTTAGCAAGAAGGATAGTACCTCTGAAGGGTCACGAAGAGAGTGGGAAGCTTCAGTTTCTTTTGCAACAGTAGATACAATGATTGGATACCCTTGTCCTCTGCTTTTTAGAGCCTGAAAACACAAATCACTGTTTGATCTTTTTCTGTGAACTTCAATTTTTGGGAGTGTGTTTATTGAAATATTAATATGGTAAAAGTTGATTTGTGTTTATAATATTTGTATTTAATTCTTAAATTAAAACGAAAACGCTCCAAAAAAAAAAAAAAAAAAAATTTATTCATATTCTTCTAGCAGCTATTAACTATATATATATATATATATATATATATATATAGAGATAAGGAAAAGATTACCTTGAATGCATCTTCGTCTGTTCGATCATCCCCAATGTAAATTGGGAGAACGTCAGAAGATTTGCTTAACCCTAAAGCATCCAGCAAGTACTCTAGGGCATGACCTTTGTTCCACTCAATGAATGGTCGTATTTCTATAACCTTGACTTGAAATTTAATTACAAAAAATAATTAATGAGGACGAAAAGTTGAAGTTCATAGATTTATATATATATATATATATATATAATCATTTGAAAAGCATGCATGATAATACCTTTATGCCCTCACGTGAGCAGAAATCTGGATAGCCCACCAGTACAGATTTCACCTTCTCCTCCAATAACCCATAATCCTACACATAACAAGACTTTTTATGGCAAGTAGTATAAATGCTCTGGAAGAATTAAGCAAAAAACAAAAGTTGAAAAGAATGGGATTACTGAGGGAATCAGTATTGATCTTTATAGTTCTCTGTGTCTGTGTGTGTGTGTGTATATGTTTACATATATATATATATATATATATATATAGAATAATGGGTAATCTGAAAATTATTACCTCTTCTCGGACATTTCTGAAGTGGACTGAAATGCAAAATCTGTTGTTCTCTACTTTGGCACCTTTTATTTTCCTAACATTTTCTTCCAGTGCTGCTTGCATCTGTTACAAACACACGAAGAATCGTCTTTACAAAATTTTAAAAACCAAAACCAGTGGATATATACATATATATATATATAATAATAATAACTTACCGATTGAATTGCAGGCAAAAATTCCTTGGCTGGTTGAAAAGGGACTTGATTTGCCTGCCATGGAGATTAAAAACTAAATAAATAATCAAATACTATTTAAACATTATTTATAATCATTATAAATGAGATTTAGCATTAATTAAATACCTTATTATCAATGGCTATGGTGCTGTACTTGCTAATATCAATAGACTTCGCCGCTCTCGGTGGCGACACTATGTCCATTCCATGACTCCCAGCATAATACACGTTGTTCAACTTCACAAATTCTTTAACCTGAATTTTTTTACAATTAACATTTAATTACTTAATTAATTAAGACGGCCTCGTAATAATTAGTGATAAATTGTATTAGAAATTAATAACTTAAAAGGAGAGATTTAAAAATTAAATTAGAAAAAAAAATAATAATATTACTTTCTCTCGGCTTCTGCCGCTGATAATAGCGGTTGGAAAATATTTTGCGACTTGACGCACCGCTGCACGCATCTGGATTTACATAATTAATAGAATATCAATTACAGATATTCTTGACGTATAAAAATGATACGCGATGCGTTTTAAACGTATATATATATATATGTATATATAATGTCTGTGAATATATGTAAAGAATATATTTACCTCATCAGACATGAAAGCTCGGTCAGGCTCATCTACAATTGGCGAGAGAGTCCCATCATAATCTAAGAACACCACCACTTTTTTCCCTTTCACTTCTTTCATCATCAGATCAAACGATCCCAAAGCAGACGGGTGTTCTCTCTGGAATTTTTAGAACAATATTTGGCAAGTATATTAGACACGTGTGTGTGTGTGTGTGTATATATATGCATACAAACACATTATACGTATATGTTCATAAATTGTGAAAATGGAAATAGAAATCATTAAAACCTACCACCCATGAGTCGTAAGTGGCATCTGAATAAGTAGGATTGACGACACTAGGAATATAATTCTGTAGATTTGGGAATGTTATTGTGTTTTCGGAGATTATGATTTCACCAATAATGTTATTGTTTTTCTGATCATCTTCAACCTTTGACTGATCTGAAATAGGCTGCACTTTTTGAGTAGTAATGGCGTGTGATCTCTGGAAACCCATTAGCTGGTTAAGCTTTGCCAAGTTTCTGATTATCATCATCTGTGCGCAATGAGTGAAAATTGAAAAGAAATTAATTAAACCAAAACATATATATATATATATACACACACACACACACACATATAGCTATCAATCATATTAGTTTTTCATACATTTTTACGTAGTTTTCATCAGAGAACCTTACCATGAATAAGACCCTTAAGGCCTACAATTTTTTTTTTTTTTTCAGAAGGAAGATAATTTTTATGAAACTTAAAAAAGTATATACACTACTCCGCCACGGATAGGCTAGATGCATTCCTCTACACACACACACACACACATATATATATATATACCCAGAAACACACATATATACAGTGTGTGTGTGTGTGTGTGTATAAATTGAAATGACATTAGGGAATTAAACGAGAAACAAAGACATCACAAGAGGCAAGAATACTCACATGAAATCAGAATGCAGGGAAGTGAGAATATCCGAGAAGCCTCCAATTAGATTCAAAACCTCAATACTTGAAAAATTCTCTCTCTCTACTCGTATACATGTAGATATATACATACATATATATATATGAAGGAAACTTTTCTGTAATTATCAAGCAGATCTCCCAAGAAAGTTTTTCTTTCCTTTTTTTTTTTTCTAAACAGTAATTAATTACGCGTGATCTTAATTGATTCTAATTTCCTTTTCTCTTTCTTTAATCAGTTCATCTAATCACCCAATTAAGATACATATTACAAAATTAATTGTTTGAGAAAGTTTGTTCCACCCATCCATATAAGAACTAATCTCCATCTACTAATTACATTCTTTTAAGTTAAATCTTATTAATTCCCTGAAACAATTGTTCTCTATTTTCAACAAAGAAAAAGTTAAATGTAAAGATAAAAAATATACTTGTCAAAGACAAGTACGTGCACGTGTAGAACACAAAGAATATCAAACAAAAAGTAGTAATAATATATATATATATATATATATATATATATATATATCTGAATTTCAATGACTTGGACATAATCACGAAAGCTTGTCTCATCTTACTAAGGTTAACATCAGCTGAATCAGCGTGACTACAACATGTCCGGGGGTTTATTTCAGGGTGACAATCAAATAATTACTGGATCAAGAGAAGATCATAAAAGTTAATGTATTAGCTTCACAAGGTCGGCATCCACTCACACACATATATATATATGTATATATAATTACAGAAACACACCTATATGGATATATATATATATATATGTATGTAAGGAGATATCTATGTATGATCTAATTCATCCATCAACTCCTATCAACTCAATTATAATCTACATGTATGTAATCAATGATTATAAAAGCAAAACAAAATGTAGATACTCTTAATCGACAATTTTAAAATTATGAAAATGAAAAAGAGAGCTATTATTATTTTTATGGCTACGCATTTCTATATGCGTGTATATATATAATCACAAACATATAAAGATCCACAGATTTAGCAAACCGATGTGCTGCCGCTGCCCTACCAAAACAAGCTAACTCGTTTTTAGTGGACAATCAAACTTTTTAATTATTTATTAGAAAAAAAGGGAGCACACAGATTGTCCAATGCACACGCATGCACAAATTTATTAAAAAAAAAAAAAACAAAAGGGAACATTTGCGACGGTAATTTTCTTTTGCGACACTATCGAAATCGCCGGTAATTTTTATCAACCGAGATAGTTTTTCCACCCTTTTTAAATGAAGAATTCCATAAATTTAACTAAACAAAAGGAAGAAGAAAACGCCCTAATTCCGTAATTAGGGCTTCATCTTCTTTTCACGGAGCCGCTACCTCTACTTCATCTCGCCTGCTTCCTCAGCAGCAGAGATTCTTCTTGCTTTATCATCACCGACTGTGTCAATCACAGCTGCCACTTGGCGGAACTTGTCGCGGGGTTGCGCAATGTACGCCGTTGTGTTACTTTTTCGAAGTGCCATCATTACCGGCAGTTTTAATCATTCGCCACGAAAAGTAAACCGCCGGTAATTCTCTTTTGTAGTGTATATAATATTCCCCACACACTAGGGAAAAAACAGTAAATTTCTTGCACGTGTGAAACGCGACCACGTGTGTCATTTGAAACAAAGAAATTTTAACTTCTACTTTATTTGGTAAGCTAATAAAGCAAACGAATAAAAATATAGAACCCTTTATGACTTTAGAACTTAATGTCCGAACAAAAAAGAAAATATATATATATATATGAAAAAGACAATCTAGACTTTGTAAGATGTACACGTCTAAACGTGGGTTCGACTTTAACTAGATACGACGAAAATGATGTTGTCTGAATCTACGTGGAACTGAATTTTTTTATTAGGGAAACCAGAGTCAAGACAATAACTTGAATCCGTAGTTAAATTTTTTTAAAAAATAAATAAATTAGTATTTTTACGTTGTAAATAAATAATTTTCATATTGCTAATAATGCATCGAAACTATTGATTATTAATTAATTAAGTATTTAAAGTAAACCATTTGAAGTAGACTAGGCAGAAGTTTAAAATGAGTTTAATTAATGATACTTCTACGGACATATATACATATATATATATATATATATTATAAATATAATTACTTTTTAGTTGTTTACTTACAATAAACCTTGGGTTAATCATGGTTATCGATTGATTAATTGTCTAAATTAAGGCTCAAGTAGCTTTATCATGATTCAGCTCATAGTAAAACAGGTGGCCCATAATTAATCTTGTATCTACATGCATGTTGCATATATATGTGTATATAGATAGAGAATATATATATTTATATATATAGTAAACACGTTCTTTAAATTAATATATATGTATGTATGTATGTATGTTGATTATGTGTGTACGTGAAGATTTCAGAGAAGTAATAATTAGGTTTTAAAAAATAAAATTTTTTATGTCACATCACACATGCATGTGATCCAACATAATGACTTGCTTGAAAATTCTGCAAAAAAGAAAAGTTCTAATGATACAATAGATCATCAATATACAACTATATATATATATATATATATATATCATATTCGATACATTTACGTCCTATAAAATATCAGCCACACACATATATATATATATATACACACACACACACACCACTATCTATATATATATATATATATCAACAGCTTATGCCTTACTTTTTGTTTTAATTTAGTGAATTAGCATAACTAAACATTCTGGCTATTTGAAGTTGGTTTTCAAAAGGTCGGGGTTTTCAAGTTTAAAGCCGTTTATTTACGTTAAACTCCGTTATCTTCCGTGAAAGCGACATCTTTCCCCTTCCTCCCTTGTGCCTCCTCGCCAAATGCCACGGACGTGTAACGGTCGTAGAAGCTGGCTTGCCTCCGAAGAATCTTAGCCGTACAAGTGGCAGATCCAGTCACAGTCATAACACGTGTCATCCATCGTGGGGCTTAATAAAAACCGGGTTTGTTGAAACTTGAAATCCCCATATCTTCCAAAAAAAAAAAAAGCACAGACAACGATGTACCACGTAACGTATGAGCACGTTGGGTCAGATGGACTCCAAGGACAGTCAACTCTACGGTCTGGAAAGTGACACGTGTACGGTCAGATGGGAACCGTTGTCGAAAACCGGTGACTTTCTTCCCTGTTGCCTGTTGGGGCAAGAAACCGACGCTAACCGCTTTTTTGTTTTCTTTTTCGCAGTACTTTGGTCGGAAAAATTAATTTCTTTTTTCATTTTTTTAAATTACGACTAAATGAAACCGGAGTTCTGATAAGAACACCCATGAAAAAATATGATGTCTGTGCACCCAAAAAAAAATATATGTATATATATATATATATATATAATGTTGAAATATATCTATAGCGGCTAAATGAGCAGATAGATCAGATCAAGTGATAAAAATCTGTCGGTTAATTTAGCACGTTGTGATTATCAGTAGAAACCTAGAAACGGTTGCTCCCCTATTTGAAGACGAAAAACCAGAGAAAACTTATTTTTCAGTAACTTGAATATATATCACGCGATCATCCGCAATACAGCTTGAAAGTCAAATTTAGCTAAAAATATGAAGGATATCACAGGAAATCAACATATATGTCAGTGTTTGAAGAGTGAGATAGTGCATATATATGGAAGATTGAGCTTATGTATACACACACACACACACACGCACGCACGCACGAACAGACATATATACAGAAGTGTAAAAGGCGAAAGGAAGAGATCAGCTTACCTCGAAAGCTTGACGAATGATCAGCTATGTCTTCTGGTTTCTGGAACGATTTAGATGTGTATATTTATGTATAATACACAGTATCTATCTATCTATATATATATATATATGCAATCTGATATGATAGCAAGTGAAAAGGAGAAAAAGCTGAAGGAGTTTTTACAGAGAGAGAATGGAGGTGAGTCGTTGATGATGAAAAGAAAAGGGAGTTTATTTATAAGGGGAAATTTTGGAAGTATGCTCAACGTTCTTCGTTCATTGCATTAAAACTTTCCTGGCTACAGCTATATATAATTACCAAAATACCCTTACGTGTATATAAGTAATTACTTAATAACTTCGAAATTTTGAATTTTGTATTTAAAAAAAAAATTATGAATTTTATATGTGTATAATTACTCAAATACCCCTGCATATAATTAAATAATTAAACTTCTTAATTTAATTTTTAAAATTACGGTGTGAGTAATTTAAAAAAGGTTCAAAAATATATTATTTTATTATATTTTGGAAAAGTTTGTGCTCAGTTTCATTTAAAAATAATATTTATCAGAGCTCCTGCTCATTATGTTAATTTATTCTACTGACACGTAAACAGATGTCTATACATATATATATATATATATATATATTTGGTTCTATACGTATTTTACAAGTAAACACAGTTGAATTACTTATGTAGCGGATTTGTTAAAACCTGGGTTATTTTATAGATATATTATAAATTATCATTTATAATATTTAATTTAGTAAATTTAATAATTTAATTTAATAATATATTAATAAATTTATATATATTTTCAATAATAATTAAAAACTTAATTATTTTTATAAATAAATTATAAATTAACATAGAACGATTCATAATATTTGATTCAATAAAATTCGAAGCTGCAAATAATTAAATTAAATTAAATTTTAACGAGTTTATTATATTTTTTTAAATTTAATCTTATTTTTTTATTACTAAATAGAGAGTGTATTTTTAAAAAATAAAATAAAATCTATTAAAAATTGTAGTAATAAGTTTATTTTAGAAGTGGTGATTACAACAAAATATACTTCAATTGTAATTGTTATTAAATAATTACGTGAAATTATGAAAATAGATACTATATATTCATATACTAATATATACATATATATATATATATACGTATGTATGTATATGAATTTTGATAATAATAGAGTCATTATCATAGATGAAAAAATTAATTTCAAGATTACAATATCATTTGATAAGAAAAATGTTGGATTAGAAGTAAACGGTTTTAAACCCAAAAAACCAACATCTTTCGTATACATGAATATTATAATTTAATTATAATATAAAGAATAAATATTCAATAATAACAAATAATAGTACACTTGAAAAAATAAATTTAAAAAGTATAAATAAATCTCGTACTAAATTAAATAGAATAAATACGTAAGAGTACATGAATATATGGTAAAAAACTTATTTTTACTACTGACGGGTTAAGAAGAAATAAATTAAGCGCATATGTGATATGGGACTACAACCGCTTTTTATATTGTCGAATTTTGTTATTTTTTATTTTGTTCGTTATGAAACGAGAAATTATAAATATAGTATATGTACATGTTACAAACTCATACTTAAATTTAAATCTGATGCATTAAGCCTCAATCGTTTAACTTAATTGATCACTTTTAAACAAACTTTATAATTAATAGTCTGTTACGCACACCGAATCCCATATTAAATTCACTTATAGATAAAAAAATCTAAAGGTACAACTTAAATTAAAATCATAATTTCTTGTAAAGAAATAAACTTGCTAATAGTTGAGATAAATAATAGTTGATAATAAATACAAAGTTTTGAAATGATCTAAAGAAAGAACTGAGAAAATAAACTAATTTTAAAAATTAAAAAACTCAATTATCATATATATATATATATATATATATATATTCGTGTAATTTGGGGTGTGATTTATGACTCTTATTTTCTTCACTATAAAAATAATTAATAACAATTTTGGAAAAAAAAAATTATTTGATTTGACCAGATTTTTAAAAAAAAAGGAATATCCAGGAAACTTCCTTAGCCATATATTTTAATTTTTGAATTAATTATAATACTCTCCATATTACATAGACTTTGAACCATTATGTATTCCCTACCAACTTTACACGAAATTGTACCAAAAAATTTCCATTGAGAAACGACCGACTATGGATTAAACTAAATTGATTTAATATATAGATATAATGCATATAAACTATATATCATATATAAATAATATGCTAAAATCCAAAATTAAAAAGAATAAAAACTTTGGCTAATTTTTCGGTTCTTCAATATTTTAAAAAATTTAATTTTTAAAGTATGCGCAATCAACACAAATTATAATTAAAAATAATAATAATATAGAATTTTACGTAGTTCAACAGTGTGCTTATATTTACGAGTAAGACCAGTAAAAAAAAATATTCTACTATGATCAAAATAAACTATATATAATCTATAAATAATATGCTAAAATTCAAAATTAAAAAAAAAATAAAAACTTTTGCTAATTTTTCAGTTCTTTGATATTTAAAAAAAAAAATTAATCTTTAAAAAATGCGCAATCAACACAAATTATAAGTAGAAAAAAAAATAATACAGAATTTTACGTAGTTCAACAGTGTGCCTATATTTACGAGTAAGACCAGTAAAAAATATATTTTACTATGATCAAAATAAACTATATATAATATATAAATAATATGCTAAAATCCAAAATTAAAAAGAATAAAAACTTTTGCTAATTTTTTGGTTCTTTGATATTTTAAAAAAAATTAATCTTTAAAGCATGCACAATCAATACAAATTAAAAGTAGAAAAAAAATAATACAGAATTTTACGTAGTTTAACAGTGTACCTATATTTACAGGTAAGACCAGTAAAAAAAGTATTATACTATGATCAAAATAAACTATATAATATATATATATAAGATAATTACTTAATTAATTATAAAGAAATTAACATGCCGAAGCACATGTATGATGATGCCGTGGTTCTTTCGTTGAATTTGTTGCAGGTTCTAACTTCAGATTCGGTGCTGTAGTACTCTGTATAATCTTTTATTCAATTCAATGTATGTGGTAACATATGAATTTTCTTTTTTAGAGTAAAATATAAAAATCTTATTCAGAATTCGAATCTTTCCCTAAGAAATGTTTGAAGTAATTAATAAATTGTATATTATAAGCCATTTAATTTTCGACCCACATGCTGCCGGTCCAGAAAATTTAATTCCAAAAAATTTCAAGAAGCATGTTTTAGTCTAATGAAAACAAAGAATTTTCTTGACAAGGATATATATATATATATATATACATATGTGTGTACACTTTACAATTTCTTATAAACAAAGACTTGTAAAGTTGCAGACTCTTGGTTTCTTCCAAGTCAAAACCTGTGGGAAAAAGAAACAAGTTAAAAGGCATATTTATTAAAAGTAACCGACAGATTTGTTTTCTTTGGTAGCTTCCTTGAAAACTTCGTAACACGACACAGCATTTTACCAAGTATCATCTCAAGAAAATCTGCCAATTCACATACCGCAGGGACGGTTCCATGATGTCCCAAGAAAATCTGCATGCGCGGTGACAGTGATACAGTTTAAAAAACAATTCATGTTTCCCAACTTTCTTTTCCGGTATGGTTATCCACGAGCTTTTTATGCATAGTTTCGACTGTGCAACAAAGGACTTATACATCAATAAAATCCAGAAACAAAAAGAGGTCATGCATCGCTCTAGATCCAGTTATGGCACAAAAGAACGATTCTACAATTTGGATCAGGCTACCAATATAAAAAAAAACTCAATCACCTGAAATTGGTGTAACTTAGCAGTCGGGTGTATCCTAACTTCTCGGTTTTCCAGCCTCTCAATAAATCAGTTCTCTCCGTTTCTGTAGTGCAGCTTGCCCCGTTATCTATCACCAGAGGCCTCTTTGTCTTTCTTGTTTTCCTCTACCCTCTCTACCTTCATGGCTTCAGGAGGATTAGCGACCTTCTCATCTTCTTTTGATACTGGAGTTACTTCCTCAGCTTTTCTGTTCTCTCCTGCCAATGTCTCCTTGGCCTCCGTGACCACCTGAAGTAGTTCCAAAGGGGTTGCAGCTGGGTCTAACTCCCGGAATCCTGCTGGAGCATTTGGTGCTTCTTTGCCGGTAAGCACGTAATTAGGAACCTGGTGTGAGAATCGAAACATTTCTCCCTTGGGAATTCTCCTAACTTCGTTGGAGTCAATGCACTTACGGAACACTGTCCTGAGACCAGCAACCTTAACTAGCAGACTGACAGTCACACCTTCTTCCTCATTATAGTCATCGAGCACCTCCACCATGTCGTATTTATGAATCACCTCATCTGGAGTATGCTCATCCCAATCAGAGGACCAGTTTCTGTAAAGAGCCCAGACATCCCCCTTTCTAGGATATATGCGAATAACCCCGCGTGAACCCTTCATCCATTGAACTTTGTGAGAGAAAGAATTCAATGTTTCAGTGATTTCATGTCTGCCACACCTGAAATCCCCACAAGTTTTGGAGAAACCAGAACCTACCCAATCTAGAGGGCCCAACTCAGTGTTACTTCTTGAGTTAAGCCAACTAATCTTCATTTTAAATGGTTTCAAAGAGATTACCTTGTGGATTCGAGCATAGTAACGAGGCATCCCATCATCATCATCATAGGCAGCCCAGACTTGATCATCTGCAAAGGAATTTTCAGCTCTATCCAGATCAAAATTGTGAAAATCAGGATCAGGAACATTGATTGACAGTGGTTCATCTGAATCATCAGCAACTGAGACAGGGCAGGAGTTCTTGTCCTGGTATTCTTTAC